TTGTGGCCTCTCCCGTTGCGGAGCACAGGCTCCGGACGCGCAAGCTCAGCGGCCACGGCCCACGGGCCCAGCCACTCCGCGGCACGTGGGATCTTCCCGGACCGGGGCACGAACCCGCGTCCCCTGCATCGGCAGGCGGACTCTCAACCACTGCACCACCAGGGAAGCCCTCTTTATTTTTAATTGCTCTAAATTATATCTATATAAAGCAAAAATATTAATTCATGGTTTATGGCACATGTAAAAGTAAAATGTATGACAAAAATAGCACAAAGAATGGGAGAAGAATTTGAGATAATACTGTTAAGTCCTTATATTACATGTTAGGTAGTATGATATTATTTAAAAGTAGACTTTGATTAATTAAAGATGTATAATGTGTAACCTAGGGCAATGAATAAAATAATTTTTAAAAGAAAAAAGTCAATAATGAAGCTAAAATGGAATAATCAGAAATGAAATGCTGGGGAACAAAACAAAATAAGAGATTAAAAAATAAAACGACTAACAATATGGTGTATTTTAATCCAATCATATAAAAATTACATCAAATGTAAATTTTATAAGCATATCAATTCAAAATAAAGATCATCAGTCACATGCTACAACAGACTCCACTTAATCTTCAGTCTCAATCTGTAGCAATGACCTAAACAAATAATTCCATGGTTTTTTTTTTTTCTGTTTGCGAGCCTCTCACTGTTGTGGCCTCTCCCGTTGTGAAGCACAGGCTCCAGACGCACAGGCTCAGCAGCCATGGCTCACGGGCCCAGCTGCTCCGCGGCATGTGGGATCTTCCCAGGCCGGGGCACGAACCCGCATCCCCTGCATCGGCAGGCGGACTCTCAACCACTGCGCCATCAGGGAAGCCCTCCATGTTGTTTTAAGAAAATTTTGTTTATGCTGGAAATCTACCACACTAGGGTACCCTCCAAATTTTTTGTCATATGTAAACTCGTTCAGCCAATGACTTGTTTCTAATAAATGACTCATTACTTCAGGTTCAAAAACATAAAGATCATCAGATTAGATTGAAAATATCAAGACCAAACTATACACCATATACAATAAACCAATTTTAAATATAAAGGGTAAATAGGTTAAAAATAAAATGATAGACGAGAGATACTATGAAAACACTAAACAAAAGAAAGCAGGAGTAGCTATATTAATATCATGTCAACCAGACTTCGAAATAAGGATAAAGATGAACATGACTTAATTATTACGAGGTCTATTCCACAAAATGACATAACAAATATAAATGTGTATGCACCTAACAACACTGCTTCAAAATACATGAAGCAAAAACTGATAAAACTGAACAGAGAAACAGCCAAATCCACAAATACAGTTGGAGACATCAACACACCCTCTCAGCAGTTAATAGAGAAAGCAGAAAAATTACCACTGAGGACTATGGAGGACATGAACAACATTATCAACTGAACTAAGTTAAATGACATTTAGAAAACACTACACAAAAACAGCAGAATACACTTTCTCTTTGAAGTTAAAAGATTCATATACTTGATTTCCTGACTTAGTATAAAGCTACAGTAACCAAGAGAGTGGTATTGAAGGAAAAATAAACATGTAGACAAATGGAATGGAAAAAAGAATCCAGAAATAGTTGTACACATATATGGCTAATTGGTTTCTGACAAAGGTAAATAAATAGGCAATTTGGTGGAGAAAGGACAGTTTCACCAAGTATAAATAGTGCTGGAACAACTGGATACACATATGCAAAAAACAAAAAGCCTTTATCCAAGCTCACACTCTATGAAAAAATTACTCAAAATGGATCATAAATATAAATGTAAAACCTATAATTCTAAAACTTAAAAAAAGAAGAAAATTTTGTGACCTTTAGTTAGGCAATGATTTCTTACATACACAGCCCAAAGCACAATAATTCAAAGAACAAAAAATAAATTGGACCTCATTTAAATTAAAAATATCTGGAGAAAGTTTTTATAATCACATATCTGATAAAGGACTTGTATCTAGAATTACAAACAAACTCAAAGCCCAATAATAAGAAAGTAATGCATTTTAAAGATGGGCCAAAGATTTGAATATATATTTCACCAAAGAAAATATACGGATGGCAAAAAGCACAAAGAAAGATGCCCAACATCATTAGTCATTAGGGAAATGCAAATTAAAACCACAATGAATCACTGTAGAAATCAAAGAGGAAATCAAAAAATACCTAGAAACAAATGACAATGAAAACACAACGACCCAAAACCAATGGGATGCAGCAAAAGCAGTTCTAAGAGGGAAGTTTATAGCAATACAATCCTACCTCAAGAAGCAAGAAATATCTTAAATAAACAACTTAACCTTACACCTAAAGCAATTAGAGAAAGAAGAACAAAAGAACCCCAAAGTTAGCAGAAGGAAAGAAATCATAAAGATCAGATCAGAGATAAATGAAAAAGAAATGAAGAAAACAATAGCAAAGATGAATAAAACTAAAAGCTGGTTCTTTGAGAAGATAAACAAAATTGCTAAACCATTAGCCAGACTCATCAAGAAAAAAAGGGAGAAGACTCAAATCAATAGAATTAGAAATGAAAACGGAGAAGTAACAACTGATACTGCAGAAATACAAAGGATCATAAGAGATTACTACAAGCAACTATATGCCCATAAAATGGACAACCTGGAAGAAATGGACAAATTCTTAGAAAAGCACAACCTTCCGAGATGGAACCAGGAAGAAACATAAAATATAAACAGACCAATCAAAAGCGCTGAAATTGAGACTGTGATTAAAAATCTCCCAACAAACAAAAGCCCAAGACCAGATGGCTTCACAGGCGAATTCTATCAAAGAGCTACACCTATCCTTCTCAAAACTCTTCCAAAATATAGAAGAGGGAGGAACACTCCCAAACTCATTCTACAAGGCCACCATCACCCTGATACCAAAACCAGACTAAGATGCCACAAAGAAAGAAAACTACAGGCCAATATCACTGATGAACATAAATGCAAAAATCTTCAACAAAATACTAGCAAACAGAATCCAACAGCACATTAAAGGATTATACACCATGATCAAGTGGGGTTTATCCCAGGAATGCAAGGATTCTTCAATATACACAAATCAATCAATGTGATACACCATATTAACAAACTGAAGGATAAAAACCATATGATAATCTCAATAGATGCAGAGAAAGCTTTCGACAAAAGTCAACACCCATTTATAATAAAAACCCTCCAGAAAGTAGGCATTCAGGGAACTTATCTCAACATAATAAAGGCCATATATGACAAACCAAAGCCAACATCATTCTCAATGGGGAAAAACTGAAACCATTTCCACTAAGTTCAGGAACAAGACAAGGTTGCTGACTCTCACCACTATTATTCAACATAGTTTGGGAAGTTTTAGCCACAGCAATCAGAGAAGAAAAAGAAATAAAAGGAATCCAAATCAGAAAAGAAGAAGTAAAACAGTCACTGTTTGCAGACGACATGATACTCTATGTAAAGATTCCTAAAGATGCTACCAGAAAACTACTCTATCTAATCAATGAATCTGGCAAAGTAGCAGGATACAAAATTAATGTACAGAAATCTCTTGCATTCCTAAACACTAAGGATGAAAAATCTGAAAGTGAAATTAAGAAAACACTCCCATTTACCATTGTAACAAAAAGAATAAAATACCTAGGAATAAACCTACCTAAGGAGACAAAAGACTTGTATGCAGAAAACTATAAGACACTGATGAAAGAAATTAAAGATGATATAAATAGATGGAGAGA